GTACTGTAGTGCCAGTCTGTATCATGCCCTTTGTAAACTTGTGTTTGAGCTAATGGAGGACACACCAGATATTGACCACACGAGCAGGGGTGTCTGATTGATTGCACAGTGTGACTCATAACATTACTTTCAAAGTCTGTTGTCGGAAATACCCCACATACAACTATAACCACAAATAAAGTAAACCAGGCTTTATCCTGTCAGGTATTCAATTTTGTATTTTGAGACTGTTTCTAAAAGTTTCCAATGTGCATCCAGAGACAAAATAATAAAAAGCGTTTGTTTTTACCAGATGTTGGCAATGTAAGGTTTGTAACAATTGGTTTTAAATAGACAACATACTTTAGCAAGCTATTCCTGGTAAATAAATAGCCTTTTACAAGTATCACGTTGTAGTTAAGTAACTCCAGAAGGTAAACCCCACATGTGGTGTTTGCTGTTAAAAACCAATTGCGTATTGATTAAACAGGGCTGCTTTCTATTCTTGAGTGAAGCCTTATTTTCAGAAGGTGTTTTGACTGTCACGTACACATGATGAATAGCTGTGAGGACATTAGTAGACTCAGTCATTGTGCTGAAGTCACGGCAGCCTATTATTCTAAAAGAAGCAAGCGGTTGCTGTTACCTCTCTCATTAAGGCAATTGTCACCAGTGTGTCACATCCACACATGTCAGACTGATTAATGTCATAGATGACCCTCATAGGAACTTGTGTTGGGACACGCAGACCTTGGTTCCCTTTGGTTGTAAGAATGTCTGGCTCAGCAAAGCCCACAGCAGTTTGTCACTATATTTCTCCTTTTGACTCCCCAGTTAAATCTGAAATGGCTTGTTTTTTGAGCTGATATGCTGTCTCAACAGTTGCCCATGCTAATTTATGAGATCTGATATCCAGGTGGCAGGGTGACACAGTGGTTAGCATTGGTGCCTTGCAGTGCTGATGCCCTCAGTTCACTTCCTGGGCTGCTACCTGCATGGAATTTGTATGTTTTCCCTGTCAAGACAGCACATGATAACTATGGGCTTTTCTTCATCTAAAGAGATACAGTCCTTCTTTTAATGAAGGTATTTTCTTGTCTTTATCACTGGGCAACATAAATGAAACCTAAAGCAGTCTGATGGGTTTAATTTGAATTTTAAATACTGCGGAAACTGTTTTGTGCCCTACAGAGAAAGTAAACTGTGAGCCATATCATCATTATGGAGACTCCTTATGGTCCATATTAGAAAATGTAGCACCTCTAATAAAAATTTTATTTGTAATTCAATCAAAATAAACAAGAAAAACCTTTCAGCCAAACCAAACAATTCAGCCCCCCGCAGGATCCAATGTACTTAAACACTGACAGACTGCTTAGTACAGTATGAGTTCCTCTCTGGATTTCTTCTTTTCTTGGTCTAGTGCAAGTGGGTTTGTCTTGAGAAATAAAATGTTGGATTCAAGATCCAAAATACTTATAAGGATTTACAGAACTATACTACCAAAAGGCCACACATCAGCTTGACAAGGTTGTATTTTAGAAGAAATATAGATATTCTTGGTTAGAAAGCAGCAGAAAACATATGGAATTCTTGCTGAAAAATAGCCTGTAAGACAAGCTAAAGTAAATATGAAGTAGATGTCTTGTGAGTCTGACCTCGCTGTGATAATGAATTGTTTTGACACGCAGTGTTGGGGATGCAAAGCACAATCACCCTGCCATTTGTAAGAATCTCACAGAGAACCAGCAATTCTCTTCAACGCACTTTCTAAATTCCACAGTAATTATGAATAGCCTGCATTAGGCATCATACAAAAGACACACTAATTGTCTTTCAGTATTCTCCAAAATCAGCAATAGATCAAATCAAAAACTGAAGAAGCTGAATTCCACTGTTATAAATCTGAAGATAATTTAATATAAGAACATAAGAAAGGTTATGAACAAGAGAAGGCTATTTGGATCACCTGGCCATTTGGCAGAAATTATATTTTGAGAACAGGACATTACTTGGTTAGATTATCCAAGGCTTCATTTAGAGGTCAAGGTTTTGAGTTCTCCGTATTTGAATGACAGCTCACCAGTGGGAATACCTCTTCAAGCTTAGTGCACATGACCTGCAGCATTGATTTCTTGTTTTTCATGTCAGAAATGTTCTCTTCAATAAATTCTCATTTTCTTATTGCATTTCCCAATACAATGATCTCGGATTATGCCTCATTTGCTATCACCCTTCCTTGCCCCCAGTTCAATAAAGTGTTCCTCGTACACTGCACGCAGAGATAAATAGTAAATAAGTGAATTGAACAAACTTTTATCCCTGAAAGAACCATGGTGCATGTATACACATTTTACTTTTAAACCTATATTTTTGCCCTCATCTTAATCCTTTGTCAGCCTGTGAATACGTCTTTCTCTTTTCTGTCAACATTTATTAGATGAGTGACTAACATAAAATCTCTATAGTCTGCCTGCCTCTTCCAATTAATTTCATGAAGTATAATGACGATCTTAATGACAGTTTTTCACAAAGCATATTTTCATCAGTACTTAATTGATGGGTTTTTCCTGACAATGTTCTTGTCAATGCTGAAGTCTTGACCTTCTCCAGCTGCATGTAAGATCAATAAAAAGGCAGGTTGTCTATTCCTTCTGTGTGGCTAGTCAACCAAACTTTCATGTTTTATTTCATGTCACACAGTGCCTTCTCATCTGTCATCAAAATTGTTTGTCAATTAATTACTGTCCGGCATCACAGCTTTTTATTACAAGTGTTTTAGAAGGTTTTAGTGACTTTGTTACAGAGAAAACTGATTTTACAGCCAGCTTTTTGATTGCTTTCTTTTTCCACCTTATATAATTCATGACATGTTATCTGATCTCCTTAATGTTTCTTGAAAAATCACACTGCACCTGCAGCAAACTCGTCATGGAATGTCTCAGTAATATATAATGAAAAAAGGCTATATTACAATAAACTAGTTTATTTAGCATTCTAGAGATCTAAAAACTGAATGTTTTCAAGCTATGGATGATTATGTTTCGATAATGAATTTTAAATATTAGGTGATCAGCCCCATGCCAGACCTGTTTGTAAGTACCTGTTAATTTCCATATTCTTTATTATGGTACCTAAAAAGTGAGTCACCAAATTGCAGTCTGCTTCGTTATTTTCAGGTTTGTTAATTTTTCAACAACTTCACATCTTGTTCTTCCACTCACCTCATTACATGAGAAGCTCATAAAAGCAAAGCTGGGAGCAGGTGTTAATGAGTTGCAATCTCATGTATTTCAAGAGGAATCAAGTATAAGGCTGAGGGCCTGTGAAATCATACTAGCAACAGAAGTAATGCATTTCTAATTACATCCTTTCATTTTTTTCTGTTATTTTAATGCACTCAACTTGCACAGCAATAAGAACCCCATGTCATAAACAGGGGCAAAAGCAACTACTGTATGTATGTCATTGCTCTGCTGTTGCTATATGTAACGATTATTGTCATTAATAATTTCAAACATTCAGCAATGTTACCTGAAAAAACATGAATCATTATTGGGCAACTAAAACTTTATTTCTACAGTCATGTCACATTAGGGAAAAAAAAACCATCATAAAATGTCTGTCATACAAAAGGACAAGTAATAGCTTTTTTCCGTAGAGCCTTCTTCAGGTGTGACCAAAGGGATATGTAAACTTATGTTTTATTATTGCACATGGATAGTTATTAAAATCTGAATCTTGCAATTGTAATGATGGCTCCATTTTATTAAAATATTGTCACGCTTACGGCCGACAGGTACTGTGTAAGAGCCGGCGTACCAGAGCAGGTGACGTCACCGCCCTTCCCTGTGATAGCAGGACTACAGCTACTAGGGTGTAGAGAGATAACTCTTTAGCTCACGAGGCTAGGTCACTGCAGAGAGACGCGGGGGAGTCCCGGGTTCGAGCCCTCAACGGTGGGGGGGCCGACCTAATGCGGCAAGGGCGCCCGCCTGAGCCCCCGTTACGTTACAATATCAAGGGTTCAGACTTCCAAATGGAGACATCTTGGTCCGGTCCATTGCATTATTTAAAAAGTGGTATTTATCTTTTCCTACCACAAATATGTTGACTTTTTCAGCTGGCTGAAATTGTTTTTTAAAATAATTAGTTGCCTGTATGCTAATCTTAAATATGACAACTGGGAACTGGAACGTCCTATTTTAGGATACTTTGTGCTCTAAACAGAAGAAAAAGAGCTTAGCGACTACACAAGTATGAATTTTTATGGCATTTTCCTTTCAGATATCCACAGAGTGCATATCCAGAATGGACAATATAGTAACAGATACTGCCTGCCAACGTTAATCCTATTAACCTCTGTGCTGGTACTTTTATGCTAGTGGTCCTGCCAATGTAATGTGAAAAAAGTATGAACAAGAATGCTAATCGGTGACAGATATCTTGAACCGAATCTTTTTCTGCATATTTATATCTCTTAGTACTATCCTATATACACGCGTAAACATGAGAAAAAGGGTACACTCAACTAGCAAGCTTGTCCTGTATTAGTGAAGGGCTCTAGCACGTGTAACCTGGTGTGTACCATCAGAAATACATATTCAGACCTCATAAGTAAAACTAAATTTTCGCATTGTGTCTTTTATGGTGCTTATTATTTTTATAAAAATAATAACGACTTTTTGTGACCGCCTATTGAAAGATAAACATTTTAATTTCTCCCGTGTGAATGGGAGACACCATAGACCTTTGCTGCCCTCTTGTGGTAAAATCCTTCCTTGCTCTAAAAGGCACTTTTCTCGTGGAAACCCCAAAGGCAATGAAGAAATCAATTTATCATTAAAGCTTTGTATTTTTTTAAGTTTCCACCATTGTATCTTTTTTTGGCTAAGTTTTGATTTCAATTTTTAAATTTCCATCCCTGAACCTTGGTTCTACTGCTGTTAATTATTTTAAGAAGTTTTAAGAAATGTCATTCTTAACTGGCTGCCAATTACAATTACAAAAGAGGAAGTGACGCAGTTCGTAACGTTCTTACGCTTGACAAACATGGCGGTCTTCGTTGCGGTGAAGTGTAAACAACGCAGCTTTTCAAACAGTAACTTTCTTTATTATAAAACAGAAAAAAAAATGACTTTGAAAAAGCAAAAGATGCGAGGTAGTTATGTAATGTTTATTTTCACTTTACAGGTTAATCGGCTTAGCGGACTTTAAGAGGGTACCAGACAATCGCTGCTTGGCTCCGGAAATCATGTAGCTTTCTGAGCAAACGAAACATTGGTAAGATTAAAATTTTTATTTAAAAATCTCATCACTGTTGCAAACTTTGATGCATTAATTAATGTTAGATATTCAGTGCGTTATATTCCGCTATACAGTGGAAGTATAAACACTTAGTTCGGTAAACCACAAATCGTTTGTTTTCAGTTGTATTTGTCACAGTGACCAATGTTCAGCTTCCTGCAGGTGGCTTAACATTGTATTGAAAGAACACTGATTAAATTCACAAGCAAAAATGTAGTGTGTGGCACTGTGGCTGAGGTATCCCCGTTTATCACCAGCAGGTGTTCTGTCCTTTTTATTATTCGTAGATACATCCTCTCATCAAAATGTAGTTATGCTTTGAATTCTGTTACTGTTTTAATATACGCCTATCTATTGGTGGATTGTCTTATTGCGTACTGCTTTGAAATGATAAAAAGGTGGTCTATAAAATTCTTGTTTAAGGGTCTGTAGGTTATTTTTGTTAATGATTTTCTTATTGATCTTTAAATGATTTTGGCAACGTATTGTTCTTGTATATAAATTAATTATTTAATTATGATATAAATCATATTGCATCAATTCAACTTTATGAATAGACTCCTGTTTAAGATCACTTCATTGGCCATATACAATTTACAATTTCTTGCATTAGGAATTTGTCTTTTCACTTGACCCCAACTTGTTCTCCATGAGACACACAGACAGGGAGAGAAGCTTGGGGTCAGAGCGCAGGGTCAGCCATTTATACGGCGCCATTGGAGCAGTTGGGGGTAAGGGCCTTGCTCAGGGGCCCAACAGAGTAGGATTCCTCTGCCGGAGGTGTGATATGAACCAGCAGCCTTCCAGCCAGAGGCACAGATCCTTAGCCACAGAGCCACCCCATCGCTAAATACTAAATAACCTCAATAAGTTATGATTTAAATAGAACATATCTAGTATTTTAAATGTCTTTAAGTACACATTTATTTTGGAACTCTTCCCTGAAGAAGGCAAGTGATACCACACAGAGAAATACTGTGTTGCTGCATTCTTAAATCTTGTCTCATTGTTGTACTGTGTCATAGAAGTGAAGTTTAAGATGGCAGCAAATGGGGAGCAAGGCTCTGAGACTGAGTTGTCGGAACTCCGGCAGAAAGTGGAGACTCTGGAGGAAGAGCTGAAGAGCTGCAAGACTGAGCTGCGCAAGTTACAGAAGCAGCTTAATCAAACCGAGCGGCTGTATAAGACCACCGAAAGTTACAACGATGATTTACGGAAACAGGTATAAAATGCAGTCTTGAGTTTTAAATGGAGCTCATTGTCATTGCTAAGGGTATATCTTAGGAAAGTAAGAATTGGTATGAACTATGTTATATATGATAATATGAGCTTTTTCTTACAAGACAATGCACTAAAAAATGCTGCTTCTTAAGAAAATACACCTTTGTGCACTTATGGCTTTTCCCATTAAAATTGCACTATAAATATTCCTCTGTTGTCTTTGAGGTGGTTTTTAAATTCTGGTGTGAATCCATTCTGTGATTGTAAGGACCCTGGCCTGTAAGGTTTGTGTACCAGGGTAAAATTATTTAAATAGTGGGATGCACAATGGTTCATCTTGGATTTTTTATTGTAGTTGGACTGTGCAACAATATGATTTTATATGTAACATAAGTCCAAGCTCAAAATAAAAAAAGACTGGCAATTTCAGAGCACTGCATGAAACAAAGATTTTGAACTAAACATTACAGTTTAGGTATGTAAATAATACCCTTTTGTGTTATAATTATTGTACTGTACATCAGGAGATTAAAGAGAATAGAAGCAATATGCAGTGCATTTCAGTATTTAGTTTAGGGTGTATAATGGAGTTCTTTTCAATAAATGTTGAATATGCCATGTTAATTTAAAAGTTGGAAAGAACTGAACTTAATGTATGTACCAGATTGCCTAAGGTAAAGCCTAATTTTTGTAATCTTGGTTAAATGTCCATTTAACAGAACCCAAGGGCACATGAAATAAATCAAATTCAACAGTCAAGTTCTGCTTTTCAAATTGATTAAACTCTCTTTTCAGAAGTGACTTCAGTCATGTGTAACGTTTTTAAATTGCTATTCTAAATTTTTAATTTGATGAGGAATGGAAGGGAGCTCTTTCGTTATGGAAAATAAGGCTTAGGTTGACATAGGCATAGTAGTTGAACTGACTGTTGTGGTTTCTTTACAGTTGTTTAAAAGTGTTCCTCAAAAATAACTTTTAGAGTCTTGCAGGACATTTGATTCACTTGTTACTGTACAATCAGAATTTATAGTAGGGTGTAGTGCAGTGACAGTTTTAAGAAGGTTAACAAATCTTATTAATGGTTCCGGATTAGGTTTGTTTTTCTTGTGTTGACATACTGAAAGCTTTTGATAGATTAGATTGGGGTGTTTTTTTTTTAAACTGAATTACCCAGGTGTGTCAGAGGTCTGTTGATATTTTTTTATGCCCTATTTATTTCCATATACAGAATAAAACAGGTATATTTTCTGACAATTATTACACTTGTTTTGTTAGTTTTCAGTTACAATTATAAGCATTTGACATGGTGGATGTTTTCTGTAAGGATGATGGAGCTGTACTTGTCGATGAAGGGTCCTTAAGTAAAGTTAAATTGGAATTGCATATTAAATATGTAAATAAAAATGAATAAAAAACAAGAAGAATCTTTCTTTTGTTATATAAGTTCATTCATGTTAATTTGATTTCATTTACATTAGGTTGATAATTTAAGCAAGGAAATTCATGATAGAAAAAAGAGGGAGAAAAACAGAGAAGACGCAGAAACGCAGACTGAAACTGCCTATTCCTGGACTGACTCTGGTAAATATGTTTCATACTAAAATTTTGAAATGATGGGAGCAGTTTTTCCTCACTATTTATAAACATGTGTATAATTAAAATCTTTAGATCTTTGTCAAGACCAAGTAGCTAGTTCGTACTGTAAATCTGTCTCCATCGTATTCCATATAAATCTGCAATGCTTTAGCAACTGATTTTCTGTGGGGATTTCAGTAGTGTCTTTTTATGCTTTTAATAATCCATTATAAAATAGCTAAAAGAATCTGCATTTTCTAATAATGCTACCAAGGAAATGAGGTTATTCTTTTGATTGAAAGTTTGCATTTTAATCTGATAGACTACCACTACTACTATGGAAGCTATTATCAGAGTGGGAATGAGGCAAAGGAATCAAATCCAGAGACACCAGAAGACCTTGTCGCTGAATTGCATCCGAACCATGATACTCAGCCTGCGGCTCAACATTCCCAAGAAAATGTCAGTGAACCAGAGAAGGAGACCAGTATTTCAATCCAAGTATGTATTTTTGGGAGTGCGGTTTAGAGTGTGCTTATTTTTAATTCATGTTTTTGGAATTTTAACTTTTAGTCTCTCTTTGCAACAATCCCCATACCAGTTAAAAGGACTAAAGAGCAGTGATGGTCTTCTCTGTTTACACAGGGTCATATTCATAATTTTGATCTTTGAGTCTGATTTGCAAATCTTGTTGAGACCTTGTGATTGGTGATAGAACCTTAGCACTCATGTTGCCTCAAATCATTTTTCTGAGTTACAGAAATATGGTAAGAGACTTCAAGCTGGATATGCAGCTTCATTGTTGGAAATACTTTGATGGAAAATGCTTTTACATCAGTTTTGTTTGAGTTGTTACTTTTCACTTGAAATGGGTCTTTGAATATTCACTTTGATCTAAAAAGAATTCTATGCCTTTGGAGTGTTCTATGCTTGCTCCCTGGATATCAGATCATTCATCTTTGATTTTAGTGTTGCTTCAAATCTATTCCTCTAACATTTTAATCAATGTTTCTGCCATCCTATTTCTCTCTGTGCCTTTTTAAATTCGAATTGCTCATTGAAGTTTAGTAGTTCGTGTTAAGAAATATTACTTGAAAATGTAAGGTGAAATAATGTTTTTTTTGTGTGGAAAAATATTAACCATGTTTTATGTTCTGTGATTTTCAAATAGGAATCAGACAGCACCTCCATAGCAGACATCCTAAGAGCTACAGCTGAAGAGGCAGTCTCTCAGACAGGATTTGTGTTTGATGAAAACTCCGGGATGTATTATGATCACAACACGGGTTTCTACTATGACTCGGTACAAGTCTCATGTTTGCTTAGGTTTTCTAAAGTTACATAATGTTTGTGAATTTGTGCATGTTATTAATGTTTATAGGGGTTCAATATAATAATCTGTGCTGTTACAGCCAAGATATCACCTAAATCTATTGCTAAATCATAAATGAGCTTGAACTTTGATTTTGAAATGTATTGTCTCATATAGTGTGATTAATATTTTAAGAACTGAGATGTGAAAAAAGTTTGAAAAGACATAAATGGATATATTTGTGTTCTGATGTAGTTTCATATGCCCCAATAGCACGATAGCCAAATGGCTTTAATAAAAAAGAAACTGTAATTTAGGGGTGAGACAAGTAGATATCTTAATAGATGATAATTTCCCAAATAATCAAATTACACTTTGCAGCGAAAAAAATGTTTATTTTTTGACAGACAAGCCAGCTGTACTATGATGCTAACACAGGGATGTATTATTACTATGATGCTGAAAGCGGGCGCTATCAGTTTCATTCTCGAGTGGAGGTGCAAGCACATCAGCAGAATTCAGAGCCAAGCCAGGACAAAAAAGGGAAGAAGCGAAGGAAAGGAACAGAAAAACCATCAGCCCAAGATGTCAAGGTAGTATTCCATATGTACTGTGCGAAAAACACATGACACTGGAAGTTTTTTTTATGATAATTAGCTGCGTAACCTTAAGCATGTGGATCTTGAGCCTCAATATCAGAACATACTGTTTATTTGAATAATATGTTCATTTTGAGGTGCAAATTATATTTGTAAATGTATCATAACTTGGAAATTTCAGTATTGTGATATAGTACAGATGGCTACGTATATTGATGTGTAATTACACATTTGTACAGCTCAATTTTGAAGCTGGTTTATAGTTATCTACATTAAGGGCAACATAACACCAACCTCTCAAAACCTCTCAAAAACTGCTCTTCTTGTCAGTTAGCTGAATGTACATTACGGTATGCATAGTCCAGTGCATAACTGAGTGACTTTATGATGTCTGAATTTGTCTGCTTTATTAATCAGACGAATGGGGTTTGTGGGCATCACTGTTTCACAGGAGTGTCTCAGTTTTCAAGAAAACGTTTTGAAGAGTAAATTCCTGATCAGGTGCATCTTCTAGGGTAATGGTCATACTGCGTGTGTAACCTCATGTTTGTGTAATTGAGGTATTGTTTCAGAAAACAGTTTAGAAAAGTGCACAAGAACGGAAGAATGGCCTCCCCCTTATTGTAAAGTTTGTAAATGTTTGACTTAAAAATAAACAAAATGTTTACTGGTAGTACAGTTATTGTTAGTATCTGATTTAGTTCATTAAAATTAAAAACAGTGAGTTGCTACTTATTATCCCGATGTTTCGATAAAGGCTGTGCTTCCATTATGTCTCAAGACGCACATCTGCAATGTAACGGTTAATGATTTTGAAACGGGCAAGAATGGAAGACAGACCCAATAATCTTCTTTTTCAGTTTTCTTAATATGTGGGATGTTGAGAAATGACAAGAGGAAGAAAAAAAATGTCTATTTGATCATTGTGCAGGAGCTGTCAGGACCTCCCTTTGCTGGAGCAGTATAGCGCATAAGAACTCTTAATTTCTGTTGTGTGCAGTACCTAACAAGTATTCCAGATTGAACAAGTAGATATTAATGTATTGTCACCATTTACTTAAATTTCCCTGTCAGATGCCAACCACTATTGATAATGTCAAGTCCAGTGCTTTTTGTAAAAATCTTTTGTTATAAGTTCTGCAGATTTGTGATCAGCTTGATATTCACTTTAGTGCCTTGAGTTTAACTTTCTTTATCCAAAAAGTCATAAAAGTGAAACTCTATAGTGCACTACAGATTTCGACAGATGTTTTTTTTTTTCAATTTGCCATGACAGTTAAGTTAACAATGTAACAGGATTATGTTTGGTTGGCCCAGTAGTTAATATTTCTGCCTTGCACTGATGAGGCACTGGGTTCAGTTCTGGACCTGGGGTATTATCTGCATGGAGTTTGTGTGTTCTCTCCTACTTTGAGTTTCCTTTAGATGCTGTTGTTTTCTAGGTTAATTGGCTTCTGGGAATATTGGCCCTGGTGTGAGTGTGTGTGAGTGTGTCTGTGTCTGCCCTGCGATGGACAGGTGTCCCATACAGGGTGTACCCTGCCTTGCTGCCTTGCTGTTCCTATTGCTTGCTGAGATAAGTTCCGACTCCCCTGCAACCCTGAATTGGATGAAGCAGTTAAAAAATGATGGATGTCTTAAAAGCTTATAACATAATAGGAACATATAGTGAGTACATCCACACACCTGAATAAGAGTCCACAGCTGAACATAATAGTCCATTTAAATTTTTACCATAACATTTATATGCTGTGCGTTTCAGAGTACAGCTTTTGTTTTCAACCTTTACTTCCTTAAAGCCTTTACATGGGGACTGTTGTATACAGACAGGTTGAGGGAGCTAAATATCTTCAGTCTACATAGTTGGAAATTGTTTGATGTTATATACAAAGTCCTACAGGGTATAGGTAGTATAACATGGGGATTGTTTCACACTCAGTAGCACAAGGACATGAGGTCACAGTTGGAAACTTAATGAACAGTTGGAAGCACTTCTTCACACAAAGAATTGTGGGTGTCTTGAACAGCTGGGTTGATTAGGCCTAAACTTTGGTCATCTTTTAAGAAATGGGCTTTGGTAAAATTTTGGATTCCCTTATCAACTAAACTAAAAAACTACTAATATGGGTAAATCTGATTTGCAGTGTTTTTTGTGTTCTAATGCCTGTTACAAATGGAGGATTAATGCTACAATGCAAGGAAACATGAATTTCATTCCTCAATTTTATATTCACATCTCTTTCAGCTAGTCGCTGCTAGTTGTAGTCTATCTCCACAGCTGTGCTGTCCCTTAATATTTTAAGTAATGGTTTTGTGCTGAATAAAGGAGCCTGTCCTTGTCTCTCCAATGTATTTTATTACTTGCTATTCCTCCTACCTCTAGGTAGAAGTCCTCACTAAATCATTGGCTAACATGAAGATTTCCTCTTTTGGGAGAATGGCTGCAAGTCAAGGTACACCTGTTGTATTACCATTTGCCACTTCAGTAGAAAATCTTCATGTTAAACTGATGGCAGTAAATGTGGCCGTACCAAATACCAAAACCCAGTATTGTTTTGTGCTGAAAAATAAGATCTCTTCAAAAGAAGACGGATTAGGAGTTCCATTGTTTAATTTCTAGAGCTCATGGGCAGTTAGTCACACTGGGATTGTATACATTATCACTGATTTTGGTGTAATGCAAACAGTATGTTGTTGACCTTTAGTAGGGGAAATAGTTGCCATGGCTTTGGCAGCAGATGTGTTACAAACATTGAGGAATAATTGTGACTTTGTGGTTTACAGCTGATTAGGATTTGACTATTGTCCTGTGAGACTAGTATACTAAAAGATAAGAGCCTACATATAACAAAGAGGTTTTTGTAAATGAGTTGTGTGACAGATGCAGCATTAAAGCAGGAAGTAGCATTCTTTCGAATAGGCATAGATTTATGACTGCAGCATTATAATGTATCATGTAACAAGGACTCTTCCTGCTGAGATAGAGACCTGCCTTTTATTTTTTGATTGGAAAAGTCTGCTCTCAAAAGAGCTGTTCTTGTGATCTTGGAGGGTGCACTGTAGTTCTCAGTACACTTAAGAGCTAACAAGGCTTTAAACTGGTAACTCCGGGCATTGGGCAAGATTGCTTTGTTTCTGACCTGGAGTCTTATCTGTAGACAACAGAAAGTGGTCAGTCTTTTGTGAGCATGTTTATTGTTTGGTTTTGGTTGCACTTGGTAGTGTAGATTACCGATTGTGGCAATACTCAATGAATTAAAGTCTGTACAGATATGAAATGTATAGTCCATCACTTTGGTATTAATTGTGAAGCTAACATTTATTCATGCAGAGCACCTTATTAGTAAGGAAAGTGTGTGGAACAAGATATAGATATAGTGTGAAGGACATTGTACAAGGTTGTCATCCAAATTACTGGTAAGGAAATGTAGGACTTTTTATTTTATGTTTTAATTTTTAGTCTAGAAACAACCCCTTGATTACTATAGAACACTTTTACTACTACAGCAACAGTAATTTCATTTAATTGAAAACCTGAGACACCGTGAAACAGTGATGATCAAAATTATTTGAGAAATACACGTTCGACAATTACCGTTTTGTAGATCCAATAGAGCCTTTTCATACTATTCACAAAATACACACAAGAGACCAGACACACAAGCAGTGATCTTATATAAAAAGAAAAAGGAGAGTGGAAAACATCTTTTGGACTAACCTGTGCAAAGTCCTGTATTAGGAGCTCAGAACTGAAGACTGGAAGGCACCAGGAGGAGTTTCTCAGGAGGAACTGGCTGAAGGAAAGAGATTGGAACAAAAACGAAAGAAGATGGGATTGCCTTCTAGAGTGAGAGATGAGAGTCCTGAGAGCCACATCTCTAGTGTCTTAGGGAATAAAGATGTTGAAATGACGGAGGATTCAAATCAGATTACGCAGGGGAGTCAAAGTGATGATGTGGAGACTGAAGCAGAGAGTGAGCTGGAAGAGGGAGAAATCACCGAGTCTGAAAGGGAGGAGAATTCTTCTGAAGAACTAACGGCCAGTGACTTTAGTGACCAGGAGGATGACCCGGAAGGTGAGAAGAGGCCTAACTTTTAGAATTGTCAGACACCCAACGTTTTAACTCCCTTGGGAACACAACTCGGTTTTAATCTGCTGCTGTGAAATACAGCTGCAATTTTCATAGTAATATTTGCAAGTTTGCCATTCTTGCAGCTGAAAGGTGAAGTGTATACAATCCCAACTGTGCAGCTGAGTCATTTTTAATGTTAGATATATTAATATTGCCTTAAAATAGAAAGTTGGTAATTACAAATAGAAACAGTTTTCTAACTATTGAGATTAGAATTTCTCCTCCAACTTTAAACAAAAGGGATGTTCAAAAAGCTTTATATGAACAAATGAGTATGTCGCTGAAAATTTGGTTTTCAAGATGGTAACATTTTGGTATTTCTAAATTATTGAATGTCTTTAAAAATGTAAAATTAAAAAAAATTGGAATAGCCTTGGTATCAGCTGGGTCTAAGACATTTAAGTCAATCAATAGTTAACAGCTTTATTCTGGGAGTCCAGATGTGACGTCGTCCAGATTTTGTTAGCTTTCTGTGGGAAGGGGTGGGGTTATACTAATCTGGATGAACATTTGCTTGTCTCCCAATAAGAGCAATTACAGCTTGCTGAGCATCTGCTGGACAGATCACAGTCATTACGATGTACTTTCCCTATTTTATAACTGCTACAGTTAACATTATGGATTTCATGCAAAAAAAGAGGATAGGCCTTAAATGACAGTACATCTCTGGAAGGATGTGTGTATATTTGTCTTGGCCATGACAAAAGTACAGTGCTGGTCTGGGTTGAACGGAAGCCTGCAATTACAAATTAGTTACATAAGTGGGATATAACATTAAATCCTTTAGTTTTATTTTGGTAAAGTTGGACATTTATACTTAACAGCCCTGGAATTCTTGCTTAGATTGTAAAAATATTACCATTTTATTATTGTAGCTTTTTATTCTTTTTTTTTAAGCCTGCGAAGAAGCATGGCCACCGTGTGTGAGAGTGACTGTCGTCCGCTCACCAGTGCTCCAGACTGGGACTTTATTTATCATTACTGCAGATAAACCAGCCACCATCGGGAGGTAATGTCTACTGTTGTGTGGAAGCCATAGTGTTTTCTACCAAGTGAAAACAGTCCAATCCTTTGCATATAAAGTTTGAAGAACAAGCCAAGTGATCACAATTTGTCAGAAGACATACAGTCAATGACTTCTCTTAAACTGTTTGGCTCATTGCAGTGAAATGTGTTATACATAGATTAGGGCAGGAGTCCTGTCAAACATGAGAGAAGTTCAGGTAGGCAGCCGAGTCAGCATGCATAGGATGCAAAGGACCAGGTAAAGGTTTATTCCATGCTGAAAGGAAAATAAGACAGCTTTTTGGCACGACAGTAAAAAGGACATAACGATAAGAGACGTTTTGGCTGTTATCTTTCACTTTCAGTGCGGAATACTCCTTTACCTGTTCCTTTGCAATCTTGAGAGATGATACTACATAGAAAATCATGGCTACCATGTGTCAATTAACTGTTTCACAAATTGCACCCTGTAACCTAATGAAACAGTTTTCATTCTAGTTTCAGTACAGCACGGTACATATGGCGAAATAAGGCCAAACAGGACTAGAAATAAACCAAACTAGGCTTGTAGACTTCATTTTGTATTTGAGTTTAACTTGAGTATGAACTAATATACAGCAGTTAAGTCAGATTTGCTTCAATTTTCTTTAACGCAGTTTGTGTTTACAGAGAGAAAGAGATGGAACATACTATAAGAATACCTGAAATGGGTGTTAGTAAGGTAAGATTCAAATTCATTGTGAGCTTGAAATGTTGCAGTTAGTTTTTATTCCCTGATTTTCAATGCTGTGATATACAATTTGTACATTTTATGTTGAACAGATGTACCATGTGTAAGCAGATAGATTCGTTTTTGGAAGATAAGATAGATTCGTTTTTGGAACTATGATTTGACCATCTGTGGCAATAAAACATTGCTCCTGATAAAAGTAGTGAAAGAGAATTATGTAAAATTAACAATCAGTTTGTGGATTAGTTATAATCCTGTAATGATGACTATACTTATGACTTGTTGCTTTAGTTTCATGCAGAAGTATACTTTGACCTTGACTTGCAAAGCTATGTACTGGTGGACCAGGGAAGTCAAAATGGGACAGTCATAAATGGGAACAGAATTTTGCAGGTAGGAGTTCATGAAATGTCACATTAATTCTGTTTTCAATATACGTGTGGTAGAGGCAAAGTTTTTTTTTTTAAACAAAAAATAGAACATGAACTTAAACTCTGCTTTGCTTCTAGCCTAAATCTAAATGCGAGCCCTTCACTTTGACACACGGGGATGAAATAAAGATGGGGGACACAGTTTTATCTTTTCACATTCACACTGGGAACGAGACGTGTGATGGATGTGAGCCAGGGCAGGTCATAGCTCACGTGAGCCGCAACAAGAAGGAAGAGGCAAGCGGTGAGTGTTGGTGGGCAGACTCTCTCGTAGTTTCCTTTCAAACCCATTTTGAAATGCAACTTGCTCTTTCTCCCACTGGAGAGAAATCTTCCAGTCTGATTTGATTCATATTGACCCAACAGAAAATTACAGCAAGAAATACAGAAAATGACACACACACACTGTTAATGGAGAGTGTTTTTAATGTTACCCAGGACATATTATTGAAATTGAAGAGCTCACAGAAAAAAATAATTGGCCACTTGTTTAAAGAATTATGTAAAAAAAACATGGTGGGTACTTTCTACTAATAGAGTAAAACAGTTCAAGTAGCATTGGCTTAGTGTGAAAAGTCTTAGCTGCCCGTTAAGCCAACAGTGGACGTGGCTTGTTACTAGCAGAATGATTATGCTGTTACATGAGTGTTACACGAGACAACACTGAAATAATCAAAAACAGAAACACCAAAATTTCAATATCCATATAATTGTCTACTGCATTTTGTTAATAAGCTAAGTTTAATCAAGGAGTTTACAAATTATAATTACATGTATACAGCACTTTGCATCCCAAAGGATCCCAAAGTGCTTTACATACAGGACGTGACTCATTTCATCTGCCACTGAAGCAAAGGGTGATGCATTGCAGAAATCTATATACACAGCAGATCAGGTGGAAAAACAATAAATTGCTGGTTTTCCCCTAGTGAAAATGAACTAGAAATGTTCATTTTCTTTGTTCTAAAACTCAATGAGAATTGTTGCTTCCCTTTATTATTAAATGTAAACCAGTCACATTGCACTTTGCATATTTTCCCTGGGTGCCCATGTATTTTTGAATTGGTTTGATGACTGCTTCAGTACTGTTACTGTTTGTCTTATCAGCTTTCCTCAAAACAGTTCCCTCCCTAAATCATGTTAATTTTAAAGTTCCTGTCTAACTCAGTGTTTTATTTATTGGACTAGTACTAACCAAAGAAGATAAGGAAATCCTACGACAGAAAGAGCTGAAGCAGATGAAAGTCAAGTATGGATTAAAAGTACGTTGCTTTTATGAGAGCTTAATCGAAATGTTATCTGATGCTCTTCATGCATACATTAATACAAAAAAATTATTCTTTGGAACACAAGGGCTTCTGATGATCCAAATGATTTGTTAATTTGATTTTTAGCCTAACCAAAACACCAGCTTTTAGAAATGGAAAATATTAGCTTTATAATTCTGTCTGTGGTGAATTAAGACTTGTAGTGATCACCACACCTCAGTTTTCCAAAAATGAATTTATGCCATTGTGACAGACAGCCCTTAACATTCTGACCATCCTAACTTGTACTGCTCATGGATGATGACATACAACTGTTATTCCTTCCAGGATCCATTCTGGATCTTAGCTTTCTTAAGACTGTTGTTCTCTTTTTGGGGAAGACTTGAGTGGAATCCATGCACCCTCAGGTCTTCCCCAGTTTCTTCTCTCATGTACTGTTCCTGCCACTAACTCATCACATTCATTCTTAGATCATGAACTCTCCACTTGCCATAGGAACATTCACATACATTCTGATTCCATCGAAGCCAGCCTTGACTCTTCCTCTTGCATCTCTCTCATTTTACTTTTTTCCATGTTTACTTCTCTTAACTCTCCCCGCTGATTCTTTTTGGCCAGGAACGCTTGTTTAAAACCTTGGCATCTCTGACACAGAGGCAGGTTTGCGGTTTCTGTTTCCCTTCTCTCTTTGAGATGGCCCATCTGTGGCTCTTAATGCACGGGGTGTAATCAGGACCCAATTTGTGCGGTCTAGATTCCTACCCTTTCCTTGATGACAAGAATATAGACCAACTGCCTGGGGGGTGGGGGACTTTTTTCTCCCACTGGGAGTTTTTCCTCTCCTCTGAACCCACATGGCTTATTTTGTTAACTGCTATAAAAAGCTGTAAAGTGCTCTGTGGCAAAGGGTTGTGAATGGTGCTATAGGAAATAAAATGACTGAAGATACACTAAAACCTTGTCTAACAATATCACACTCCTCCGGGTTTTAAGCCTCCTGCCAGCCCTGTTTCTTAGCAGCACACTTACTAATTGGGCCTGCCCAATGAACTACCTCAAAACTTGCCTCTCAGGAGCCTGTGATTCCTGTAAATAGCTAATATAGCTTTTGCTATATCTTCAGATTTTCATAGTTTTTGAAATCCAACAGGCCTGCAAAGCTGCTGGATCTAACTCTAGAACCCCTATCCATAAAGCCTTCTCTTGCTCCTTTCTGGCTGTAGCATAGGTGCAGACAGAATCTGCTTCTTACTGGCTGGTCTTATTAGCCTACCAACTTGTCCTCAAAGGACTGGTGAATTCCAAAGAGCCTGTGATTGTAGCTCCTCTCCCTCTCTAGGAATTTCACTTACTCCAAGTGCTAAGAACTCAGCGGGACCATCTTTCAGTGATCCGGTGGCCATCTTGGCTCAAGGCAGCACTATTGGGCCTGAGTTTTGAGCCAAGATGGTGGCTTCTTCACAGAGTCACTTCTCACTACACATCACAGGCACTTTGTTTTTAAGGATTAATACCTGGAAATACATAAGGTTGTTAGTTATGCTTTAAAATGGGGATGTTCTTCTACCTTTAGTCACAGTGAGATAGCAATTAAAAGGGCTCAGTGTCAATTATAAAACAAGTGTGAAATAATACAATTCTAAATTGTGGATGTAGATTCTGACATTTATAGTAACAATATCAAGTTTACGTAAAACTAATGGTGTAGTTTAAGTTTCAGGTGTAGTGTAATAGTTTATTTTTATAACATGTTTTGATTCTCAACATCAGGACAATAAGAAAACTAACCAAGAAAATTGTGAATGGTTTCTTTTACAGGGTATTAATTTTGCTTGTGAGCGTGGTAATGGTTACAAAAATGCCAGTACTCATTTTGAACCAAACAGTCTCCCACTTATAGACCCCAAGTCGTGTTAAGGGGTAACATTACTACACCACATTATTTTTCAACTTAGTCACCATCTTTTGCAATACATTTCTCATATAATTCTTGAAGTTTCTTTATTAAATATAATTCCATGGTTCTGGCAGATGTTGTGCTTGGCTTACAGAATGGGCGATGTCTGCTACTGTTCATAATGCATTCCTTAATGATAACACCATGAACGTACTGATACATGGAAGCTGTCATAGTTTTCATCTCATAATTTGTTTTTTACATAATGCAACAGAACAGATTTTGTGTAATATCTTGTAATCATCAATTTATAGAACAGCGAATATGAGGGAACCAAAGCCTTGAAGAACTCCAAATACAAGGACCGTGCAGAGAAGCGTCGTCAGACTGTTGGTAGTGAAGGGGCTTTTCAAAGAGACGACGCTCCAGCTTCAGTGCATGTGTAAGTGGTGAAAATGTAAAATGGAGTGAGGTACAAAAATTATTTAAGATAGTCCATGAAGCTTTTCACAGACTGCCAGGAACTGATTAGGAATGATTATTCCTTCAGGTCTTTTGATGATTTTTTTTGAAGGGTTAAACTTGAGTGACTATCTTATGATGACTGCAGGATCTACCGGTAGTGATCTGGACAGCCGCTATTATATTAATCCTGTCAGTTACAAGGTAAACATTCATTTTGAAATTTGTAAGTGACTCAGCCTTTCAATCCTCTTGTAGGGAAATCAGTGATGGTAACAAAGGACGGAAGATGCTTGAAAAGATGGGTTGGAAGAAAGGAGAGGGACTGGGCAAAGATGGATCCGGGAGAAAAGATCCGGTAAGTCTTTCCTAAAAGGATTAAGCAGAAGCAGTCACCTGCTAAAGAATCTGTCACAATCGGCTTTTCTAAGGCTTCAGGTCTACTGTAAAGTAGCACTTCACCAAATACGCTTACCTAGTGACGTTGACTGGTCAGCCAAAACAGAGTAGTGTGTTGTTACTGGAATATTTTTCTTTAATAGAAAGAAAATGGGAATTTTGTAGCAGTGAGCAAAACTGCTAAACGGGAACAAAAATCAAATATAGTAAATGTATGAGGTACTTTTCATAAAAGTTAACCCAATGATGTAAAAATGTTTATGTACATAAGAGTAGCGTCCATATATATTCACATCCTTGGTGAACTCTGAACTGTAGTTGGTTTATCATTAAACCCAGGTATATCTTGATATTTTTTATACAAATGAAACAAAAGCTACAATCTAAAAACATTTCTGAGGGGATGTAAAAAATGTATCCATACCCCATTCACACCACAAAATGGTGATTGCTGTATTCATATGCTCTTCAAAAGCCTCAAGGAGTTGATTCCTGTACTTTAGTCTTTAATATGTTCTAAATTTCTACTGAGTGAAATTCAACTACAATTGCTTCATTTCTCATTCCATAGATCCAGCTACAAATCCGAAAGTCACAAGCTGGACTGGGTATCAAAGCTTCGTTATCTGTTGAAGATGTTGCACTGCATAAATCCAAAAACCAGAAGAACTGGGATAAAGCCAGAGAGAGATTTTCAGACAGCTGCCAATCCAGCAAAACTTCCAAAAACAAAGTAAATCCCAGTGCCAAGTCTTGGCTAAAAGGGGAAGCTGAATAGATCACCCACCAGCAGATGACGTTTTTTTTTTTTGTTCTGAACAAATTAACTGCATGCCTGTACCTTTTAATTAAAAACAGACTAAATGAGGCATCCACTGTGCGTGTTTTCAGCCTAATATTTGATGTTATTAAACTGTAAATGGACAAAATCCTGCTTTTCTCTAATGTGTGAATATTCTCATTAGAATCCTCAAACAGTGCTGCTCCAGGAAGAAAGATTTTGTTATAGGCCATTTTACAGGCTGAAGGAATTTGAGATGTAAGAGGTCTTTATAAATGTATTCATAAACTTAAGATTTTAACAAACCATATTAGAAAAAATGTAATCTTGGTTTACAGTATGGCTATTTTCTAAATGATCTCTTCTGTAGTACACTCTTTAGGGTGGTGGTTAATAAGTCTACCTTTTAATTTGATTTTTTGTAACTATGTAATAGCATTTGTTGCCCAGTCATTATTGACTGGTTGTAGAGTGAGTTATATTGATATTTGCAAAATGACAAGATTTTAAGACTGGGTTTTTGGACAACCATTTTAACTTGAGGAAAATGGGTACTTTGTTATGACAAGGTGTCTGACTTACTTTTTAATTAATTTATGAAGAACAATGTATGTTCACCACATCAGCCTTAATGGTCTAGAGCAGTGGTTCTCAAACTTTTTCGACCAAGTACTACCCCTGATCAAGCCAAAGCATCCAAGTACCACCTACAAGTCATCTTCTCATAGGAACCCCAGAAATTCTCAATGACCAACATGAGCACACGTGTGTGCACACACTCACATAATAAATATTAAATAAACTTTATTTGATATAGCGCCTTTAAGGGTGGCTTCTCAAAGCACTTTACAGAAAAAAACAGGAACAACAACAAATAAAAATAATAAAAAGCCCCATTTCAGTGAGAGGGTTGAGCCTGTTTCATTGACCAAAGTAGATGTGAAGTCATTTTTTGAGCCTTGATACAATTCACAACAGAGTCTAACAGATTTTAAATCATCAGGCATTTTCTTGACGGCAAAGGTCTCCCAGTGGATGTTGCACTTCATATCTGGAGCAACCTCTCTCAATTACTGCAACTACACCGCTGTGTCGGCTTGTCATCGCTCTAGCACCGTCAGTACAAACGCCGACGCATTTTATCCAGTCAATTCCATTCTCTTCGATAAATTCATTCAGAAGCTGAAATATGTGCTCTCCTGTAGTTCCTGTTGATAGCGGTTTACAGAACAGAAAGTCCTCATGGGACATAGCCTCAAACTCGTATCTTAACGTAAACGAGCAAATTGCCCAAACCGACTTACAGACACATCAAATTGCAGTGAAAAACATCTGCTTATTTTAACGTGCTCTATTAGCGTACTTTTAATATAATCCGCCATTTCAATAATTCTATGAGTGTCTGTCTTTCAGAGGGGGCAGCAGGTCGAGCTGTTTAGCAGCTTTTTTTCCTCACACATACTACGTGTCAGCTCTTTTGCCAACGGTAAATAAGGTTCTTCAAAAATAGTGTGGGACTTACCTGCTTTAGCAATCCGCAAGCTTCCATTTTTCCCCGTTTCTGTTTTAGGAGTCTGTCTCAGAAGTTAAAAGAACTTTTTATTTCATGCGCATGGGAGCGAAACACATTGACACTAGAACAGTTCTTAAATATTTTTCTGTAATACGCATTTCTTTGCATTCCTGTGTTTACAACATTGGCATTGTTCTAAAATCACGCACATTCTCCTACCTCCCTATTTGCTGGAGATAAGTTTTTTTTTTAATACAATTGGTCACTTGCATCCGTAGCACGCATTCCTATAGAGTGGTATAGAATTACATTGTAGCTCTGTGTCCACTCACGTATCAGCGCGCGCTGCATCGTAGTATGTAGGCTGCGTATTCGACGCGTCTTAAAATAAATATGAAAACCCGTCCCAATTTTTCAGTGCACACAAAGTTGCAGGGTCATATGGCGTACCAGCTGGCGGTGCTCCGTGTACCACTCCTGGTACACGTACCACAGTTTGAGAACCACTGGTCTAGATTAAGCCCAAACTTCAATGCACCTGCAGTACCAAAACTAAATCCAGTATCTGATAGTAACTTTCTATAAGATGGTGTATTTATTGTTTGTGTACATCCTATATCTTCTGGCAAAAATCTACCATCATTATATTCTTGTTCACAAACGGGCTGGCAAGCTTTGATTTAATTGAGACATAAAGGCTGCTAATACTATTCCTAACTGGTTCTGTGGTCTCAAAGTATCTTCCAGTTTCTTCAGTACAAAAAGTATAATTGTGGAAAAATGGCCTATGCTACCTCCTTTAATCCAGTATTCCCAGTAAGTCAGGCTATTGCAGGTAATATCAAACATTTTCAGAAATTAGTTTTCCGCTTTAAAATTGTAAATTCATAAGCCTTTCATTTGTGGTGAGATTAGTTTTGCAGTATAGCAATTTCTTCATTTTAAGGAAAATATTTTTATCCCTTGAGGGATTTTGAGAATATTAACTACACAGTGTGATAGAAAGGGGGTAATTCTGGGTTACTCATGAAAGTCACTGTGCTTAACCTAATATTAATTGTTCATTTTTAGGAAAAATTTCAAGAACCCAGTGAAGAACTCTGTAAAATAAAAACAAAACTTTTTTTGAGTTATTTCATCTGAATTGTCTTCAGTCCTGGGAAGTTGTAACCAATTGCCACTGCCTTCTCCGTCCTCTGCTGTCACCTGTTGCTTTCATATATAAGCTATGAGTGTAAATAACGTTAGTTTTGTAAAAACATAACATCCTCCCAAAATAATACATACAATATATTACCGCATCTTTATAACTAGTATATTTAATAGTTTGTCACAATAACGTTTTACGTCTAAAGAGGCTCCCGTGAAACGCGTTCAATGTCTTCTTTTATATTTACGAATATGGTATTTCAAAACCCTCAATAATATGGTGAGTAGGGTTGAATTTAATTTAATAAGTGAAATGCTGTTGATCTGCAACTGCACAACTCGATAAACGCACTTAAGTGCAAGAGGTTCTTTAATGGACAGCTGAAGAAGCTGCTGAACTTACCCAATACTGTAATCGTTTTAAACGGAAACTTCATGGACGATAATGGATTCCACGGACCCACTTTACAAATCTGTAAAACAAATCACGGCATTAATTCAGTTTGCAAGCGGGCTTAGAAATAAAAATAAAATTTTAGTAACGTGTAAGCAGACGCAGCAACGCTCTGTGCATGGTATTATCACAAAACAGGAGGCTGCATCTGAATCATTAGTTTTGGAGGTTGTAACCAGTTAAAGCCGCACAGCTGCTGCTCAACCTTCTCAATCCTCCGGCATTTTCTTTATATATATGGGATATATAAAATCGGACTGCATTTTGTAATCAGTGACGGCAAACACGTGTTAGCCGCAATCTGAGAATTGACTTCTTCCAGAAGAGGCTCGAGTGAAACCAACTGTTCACCGGAAACCAGAGTTCACTAACCATTTCACTCGAAGGAATAATTTAATAGTATTATTGATCTTTAATAATATGGCTTACGCTTTTTAATGTTGGAGCACAGATAAAGTAAAGGCACCCAAAAAACGTACAATATGGCAAGAATTTCTGTTTACACCTTAATGGAAAAAAACAAATACACATAAGTGAGGTTTCCTGCAAGCAATCCCCGTATACTTTGCAAGTTCAATAAGATGTTTTACCTCAATATAGGTTAAAGCTATAAATTGTATATTTAGGCCGTGTCCATTCCTACGGTTTTTATTGAACTTAATTAGACTTGTAGTTTTAACATCGCCAATTAGCAGCACAAACCCGTTTACTTCGTTAGTTTATAATTTAAAAACTGAAGTTAATAAATTAAAAGTGAAGACTACTTACAGAAATCTTACATGTCAAATAACATACGGATTCTTTGCAGTCTCTCCTTATGGAAGACACGTGTGCAAACGTCGCAACATGGCGCATGTCTGTTCTTTTATTCTTGTGAGGCGTGTGACGCAAGTCGGGCGTACGTGCGCCACCTGGGGGATCCTTTTATATTTTTACGTAGCTAACTATAGGTCGCCTCAGATGAAAGAAGCAAAAAGCAGAGATTCAATGCCCAAAGCTTCAAAAGCATAGTTCTAAAATGATACTGTTAGCCTTCTGAGGCACAGGAGACATGAAATGTTCAACCTTTCATGTGTATTCGATTTTAGGAATTGGAAATACAGACAAATCTAATAATAATTAATAATAATTGTTTACACTTCAATAGCGCTTTTCTGGACACTCCACTCAAAGCGCTTTACAGGTAATCTGGACTCACCTCCACCACCACCAGTGTGCAGCATCCACCTGGATGGTAAAGTTATTTATATTTTGTGCATTAAATTGATAAGGCCATTTTCCACAAGAACATGCAGTGCAAATAGTAGTAAAGACAGCCTGACGTAAAATATCTTACTCTGTAACTGCATACGCTCTTTTAATTGATGGATCCTTCAGCTGTCTGAATTATTAGTACTGTACTTAGCATTTCAATACATATTTTCGGGATAAAATGTGAATTAATAGAAATGAAGCCCAAAGCACAATGATACAATGATTTATTTCAGTGCCCATGTAAAAAGAAAAACAGACAAAAAGAGAAAAAATAAAATCAAAGTAGCAATAACATTAAACAAAAATAAAGACAGACAAAAAAACAGGGAAAAAGATAAGACTAATTAAAATCATAACTGAATAGTTATACCTTTAGTCTAGATTTGAGGACTGTTAAATAGCGTACATTTCTCAGAGCGGCAGGAAGAGGGTCTCAGAGTTGTGGAGTAGGCAGCTAAAAAGGAGACACTTGTACCCATGAGAAGGTTCTACAAAATGTCTCAGCAGAGCATAAAGTCCTGCTTAGTACATATGGAATAATAAGAGATACACAATTCGTGTTCCTTGAGGGCTTTGAGAAGTTTAAAGGTAAAATTTGTAACTGAATTCACTGATGTAACAGAAAATAAAGGAAATTGGGATCCACCTGCCTTATATTTCGAAACGTAATGTAATTCCCCCGTGTGGAGGTGCACTTGAAACCAAGAACAAAAGGCACTGCCTAAAAAGGGAAGTTGTGGGAGAATGGAACAAGTTACACCGGATTGTTGTTGAAGTCGAGACCCTGAGCTCTAGACTACCAAACTGGCTACGTGGGTCCAATGTCCTCCTTTTGTTCAGAACTGTTCTTATGGGACAGGACCGGATTTAAATGTAACACTGAGATGTTACTGAAGTTTACAGCAAGGTAAACAGTCTGTAGACATTTCACTTAGTAGAAGAAAGGTCATGAAGATTAGGGACTGACGCACAGAGCTGTTGCCCATTTAGAATGTGGAACTGATGTTCCTTTTATCGCTATTTACAAAGCACATCTCAAATCCTTCTGACTTAAAAGGGCTCAGATAGTCTAACCCATGTCTAACCAGTTTTCTCAAAAAATGTTCTCAGCTGTGTGCAGAATATACAGTATACCGTATATTACAGCCCAATTACCAAAAAAAAATTCTAAATTCCGTTTTTTAAACGTGGCAAAATTGGAAATTCTCTGTTACTTTTAGCATAAGAGTCCTGAAACTTAAGGCACGAAGTCAGCAAAAACCGCGGTCACCAGCAGGGATTTCATATTTTACTTGGATCATAGCGCGGCTCAAGGTCTTACAGACTTCATGCAGAACCTTGAAGTTAGGAAAATAATTTAGTACTGGTTTCTCCGACCAACCGGGAGCCGATGGACAATTAACAAGATTTATTATTATTATTATTATTATTATTATTATTATTATTATTATTATTATTATTATTATTATTATTATTGGTGATGGAGATAATCAAAATCAATGTAATTGATCAATTAACCTCCCGGACTAGTATTAATTTATTACGGGACAGCCACTGTGAGTACTGAACTCTATTACCGTGGTGCACTTAGACATCTGTTAAAACAAACGTACCATAGGTATAGGATTAACAACTGATAATTGTGTAGACATTAGCCCCCAAACTGCATATTATTAAGTGATATGACGGAGAGCCAAAGCACGCCCTGTCGTCAAGTTAGAGGGTGCAATACTAGGACCTCAAGCCAAGCCCAGTGTTTTGTTTTTTTCTGAAGCGGAAAAAAACTGTTGCTGCTGCACCAAGTTTTAAGGATTGGCTTCGCAAGTAGCACATAGGCGAGTATGAAAGGGAACAGACTCACCGAGCGTTTGTAAGATGGCAAGTTTTCTTCCTGGTAACATGAATGAAAGAAAGAAGATTGAGAAGGAATTTAACAATGGACCTTGTGGACAGGTAACACCAGACCATTTAATCGTGTTTTCAATATACAGTTCGAAACGGAGCAAACTGTCAGCATAAGCATAAACAGCTGTTCATCTAAATTTCTGTCCAAATGCTTTTGCTATAGAGCCAGTAGGAAATTTTGCGTGAATTGTAACAGAAAGGTTTTTAAACTTGGAGCAGCATGTGGTATTTGTTGTGTGATATGTCTTGGTATATATTTTGAATAGCATTTCCCCCTCTCTTCAGAATAGATCATATGAAATAATAAAAGTATCCATCCTAAACCGTGCGTGCCATGCAGACGTGATTGTTCGTGCTTTATTCTGCAATGTATTTTGCTTTGTTAACTGTGGCAATGTTTTGTGGAAATTGGATCTCAATAACAGGCTACACGGCCAAAAAAGTAGGTTTCCCGAGCTACCTCTATCAGTCTCTTTGTTAAACAACACAAAAGGAAAATGTATAGGCAGTGAATCACCTTGCATGAACTGAGTCACTTACTGTACAGCTAACAATATCTAAAAGATAAGTCAAACGTCAGCTAACACTTCACTACTGCTATTGTTAACCAGTACCATGCAGGTACACTCATTCGAGTCCTTTCATTTTAAATTCATTGTTTAACTGTTCCACCAGCGTTTAAACTGGGGGGGGGGGATCTGCAAAATATCCCAACAACAGAATTGAAACCATTCATAACCAAATGAAGGCAATGATTTGCTTTTCATCACGGAAAAAGAGATTCGTTAAGCCTAAAGCTAATTATCATATTTGTGTAATAATATAGTAGTAGCAAATCCAACAGGAAAATACATTAATGGGGTTATGTTTTGTAAAGCACTTTGAGACCCCGTGATATGACAAGAACTTTTGACAGGTTTTGCCTAAGATTATTTTAATACTATATAACACATAATACAGGTGTATCGTGTACATATTATATATTTAGTTTTCAAAATTAGTCACATTGATAAATGAAAACCTTTTCATTTCCCGTGGGTTATTTTTCTTACTTCTGTGATAGAACACATTTAGTAATACAGATTAATGTCATCCTTACTGTGCCCACAGGTGGAGTGATAAACATGGTACATTAAATTGTTTTAAACAATTGTTATAAACCATTTATCTGTGATAAAGTATGTGGTATTTCACTAATTTAAAAACAAAACTGTTACATACTTTTTAATTGTGTAAGAAGAAACAAAAGAGCCCATAAAAATGGTAAATAAATACATTTGAAAAATTCTGCAAGTGAATAGGTCCTGTATTCTCCACCCAGCCCTGAAAAAAGATTTTTTTTTTTGGTTATACAGTAGTTAGTAGTTGCATATCCTCTGGTTGAAGAGTGATAGTAACTTGGGAATCCTCATGGAGATGGGGCAGTCAGGGGCCTAGGGGTATTGTCACAGCAGCTTGTCTATGTCACAAGTCGTTAGGCTATTGTAAAGAAAATGAGTTGTAGTTATAGATGAATGACTAAAATGACACCATTCATACAGTAAGGACATACGTGTAGGTTTGCAACTCCAGTTTCTTGGATTGATTAATCTTTGGGCTGGCACAGTCTGGCCTAATTAATATCCCCCCCATTATTATTTTAGTGAAGTCGTGTTTCAGTTCTCCACATGATCAGCTGTTCAGTGGAGTGGCTGGTGCATAATTCAATTGAGGGGGTTCCTCTCCAATATGCGAAGCCCTTTGGGATGAAACTCTCTACGCAAATGCAAGCAACAGTCCATAAACGGTTCAATTCTAAGTATTCAGAATGTCTTCTCTGTAACTAAAGAAGCACAGTGCAGGAAGCTAGCTGATAAGGGTTCCAATGCAGACTGCAGATGAGGTGCTGTATATTACTGAAGATTAACCCACCTTTCACAGATTCTCTCTGGTCAAACAACAGGCATGTACAGTATACTGGAAGTGTGTTTCACTCTACCTAATTAACTGCTTTGTTCTTGATCTCAGGAATGAAACCGATGGACAAAACAGAACTGTGGCATTGGATTTTGTTATGAATTTTGGGCATGGTCATATGAAAGGTCAACTTGGTTAACTGCTTTCAGTATCTGAAAATATATTTCTACTTTATTGATGTAGTACTAGAATGAAAATATAAATGTAACAATGGTTACATACAAGAGAGGGGCATTCGACACATCTGACTTATTTGGTTTTTCAGTAGCTAATGGTTCCCAAGGATCTCACCCAGTCATGTCTTGAAAAATGTCTGTATGAAATCCCACCACATGGCTGGGCAGCCTGTAAAGGATAAGTGGTGTTCAGAGTACAACTGGTTATATCAATTATTTCAGGACCTCTTTTTATATTTCCCATCTTGTACATAAAAAGATGAGATCATGTAATACTTTTTTCAGATTACTGGTACTGATGTAGTCATTCAAGTCTCCATCATTGCAGGTGAGCTGTGCATGGGTGGGACTTAAGCTAACTGTGCTGTCAGTAGCTAGGATAGGGATACAGTCAGGGAGGATGAGCCTGTCAGGAAAGATAAATGTTTGAGAATCTGGAAGAGTGGAAAATAGTGCAGTGGTTCTCCACACAGTTCCTGGGGGACCACTGTGTCTTTGGGTTTCTGTGGCAGCTAATTTCTTAAACTCAGGCGATTTCAATTTTCTATTTTAGGTGCATTTT